GCTTGTTTGAGTCTGAGTGGGTGCATCTACAAGAGACACTGACTGCAGAATAGCCTAATTCTACTGTGCATTAGTGTGCAAGGGAAAAACCATACTAATACACTAGTGCGCAGTAGTATTAGGCTCTAATCACTAAAACCCATGCACCGGTGCTGCTGCACAGTAGTGCCAGTTACCAGGCATTGATTTAGTACTGGGTTATACAAGTATTAAACTTAATGTGGAGTAATTATGGTGCATTAATGAATGTGTAGACACACCCAGTCAGAATGCTGCTCTTCTAGTTGCTGGATACTGGGCCAGGTGGGGAGGTGAGGGGGGAAAATGGGACTGCTCTTTGTAAAGGAAGCAATTGGGTAAAGGAAGCAATTGGGTGCCACAAAAGTATAAGCCCCCCATGTCTGTATGAATGTGCAGCCCTACTGTGAAGTTACCAAGGCCCCTATTTCCAAACAGACCCCCATGCAAAGGCTCACAGGGCCCAAATCTCCAGTCAGAAGTCCATGAGCCTGGGTTATAGGTCAGCCGAAATATTCTGATCCAACACGCGTGAACGGCAAGCACAGCCAAGCTCTTTTGGCCGCAGGATGCAGCAAGGAAATCAGAGACAGATGCATTTCACGAAGGACAGGGTCAGTGCTTGGAGCTGTTTGCTCTGAAAGCTGCACCCCTGGGTGCCAACTGCTGGTAGATAATAAGGGGCGATGTTTCTTTATTGTGCCCCAAGAGCCCAGTAGAAATGGAGCCAAGCTCCAGGCTTCAGCCAGCTCTAAAATACACCGTGCTGTCAGTGCTCCCACACAGCACATGTACAATTACCAGCAGCCCACTCCTCTCTGCTCATTAGCTGCTGCTAAGCTTTGCAAACACGTCTGAGCATGCCCTGCTCATGTATATTAACCTGCATCTGTTGCCTTGGCACCACCTGAGCCAGGATGCAGGTGGTAGGTTCGGTGGGAATAGCTTCTTTGCATCAGCAGACTGACCCACCGGAGCTCAGGGCCCCCACTTCCAGATACCTTCATAGTGCCATGCCTGCTTTCAGTGCTGTACTGCAAGGACTGTGCCTCAGGGTGATCAGATGCACACCTATGTCCAGCAGCTACACCAGGGCTTTTGGCATTTGGTCTCAAGTTGCAGCAAGGGATGCTTAGGTTGGATATTAAGACAAACTTTCTCACTAGGAGGGTGGTGAAGCGCTGGAACAGGCTACCCAGAGAGGTGATGGCATCTCCATCCTTGGAGGTTTTGGAGACCTGGCTAGGCAAAGCCTTGGCTGGGATGATGTAGTTGGGGATGGTTCTCCCGTGAGCAGGGGTTGGACTAAATCTCTTGCGGTCCCTTCACCCCTCACTTTCCTAATATTTTAAACCCAGCAGGTGGCACCAGCAGCTGAGTCTAATCATCCCCTTCCCTTGTTCAGTGCATCACGGAGGAAGGGGTATTTGGTCCCTAACTGCAGTGCGCTCGGTGGGTGACAAGGACTGATTTCTTTTCTTCTGTAGACAAAATGCTTTTGAGGGGTTGGGGGCATTTGCAGCAGGCTCAGTGGTGACAGGTCACAACCAATTTCTGCCTGGCTGAGTTAGCAGTGACCTCTCATTAAAGGAAAACTCCTGCGATCTCCGGAGAGCACCGGTGCTCTTGCTAGGATGTATGCCAGGAAGGGTCCGTGCCATTGTCCCCCAGTGAATGCCCCACTCCTTACAACAGGTGCATTGAATGGAGACTAACATCTGGACATTGGTCACCTCCGAACGAGCCTATTCGATGCTGGGCTTGTGCTGCAAAGACTATTTCAACTGGATTTTAGGAAGGATTTCTAATTCTCTGGGGGGCTCAGCATGAGATCCCCAAAGGGACTGTGGTATCCCCAGCATGGGAAGTGTTTGAGTATAGGTTAGAAAAACACTTGCCTGGGATGGTTTAGATGGGGATGACCCTAAAGTAGAATCAGGAAAGGGGCTTTTCATCAGGTGTAAACACTTTGTGCTCTTCCAGGGGCGTGAGAAAAGCCAGGGGCAAAACTGCCATTACTCTCTTATGTCTACATCCATGGGAAGGTGCCCATCCCTACCACTCCCAACCTGTCTGAGTTCCCAGCCTCCCGGCCTCATCCCAAACCAAAGGCTTTCGACAGACATCCACAGCCATGCCCTAAAGGCAGGGAGAGGTGACAGCTGAGGCTTGGGACAGTCCTGATGCACGCCAGAGCACTAGATTCAGCACCCAAAAAGGGAGCAGACTGCTTGGCACCTGAGCCCCGGAGGTGGCTGGATGGTGATGGGGAGGAGGTGATGCTTCGTAGCCAGCTTCCCTGTTCAGCTGTTTCGTCTTTAAAGATGCTGGTGTCATTTCTACCGCCTACGGTCTCTAACCCAAGCTGTGCATTTCACCCGTAATTGGAGCTGCGCTTTCCTTACTCGGAGACGCGGGATTATTATTAGTTTCCTCCTTTTGTTGAATATGTTAAGCTCAGAGAAATGTGCATATTCATCAGATATCTCTTTCATTAGACCAACTAAATAGTTGCAGAAAAGGTTGCAACTATTTAATTGGTTTAATAAAAGATATCGGGTCTACCCAAAGAGTTTGTCTGCCTTTGTGCTTAGACCAACAGAGCTACATCCTGGATCCCTAAAATATTAACACACCTGGTGGTTTCATTGAGATCTGTGGGTGTCTCCCATGGGCTCTGGGTCAGTCTCTCAGGGCCAGGTGCATTTAGGTACCACGTGGCCATTTTCCAAAGCAACCTGACACCTACTGAGAAGAAAAGCAATCCAAATGTGCAGGAGAAATGCATTTACATCTCGGCTGCTGCCAGCCCATGTCTCCTGTGTGCTTGAGATGGCTCTCACTTTGCCAGTATGGCACATACTTCCCTCCCCTATGATGTGCCCCATGACTGGAGCAGAAGGGCATCTCCTTCACACACCCCTGGCCCACAAAGGTCTTCTCCTGTGGAGCGCATGCCGTGAAATGCTCCTCGTGGCACGAGTGAGTCACAGGCCAGATAAGGTGCAATTTGTCATTGAGATGCAATGCATTGCATTTTAACCAGAGATCTTTCAGCACATGCAAGGTTGGGGTGGTGGTCGCATCTCCCTTGCGGGGGGCGTGCAACATGCCAGGTGGTTTTTCAGGGATGCATTTGGTGCTGCTTGCTGATTCGTGCAGCAATTACTCTATTAAGAGGAAGAAAGGGGTACCGATAGCTATCGAGCACGAGAGAGGAGGGTGCAGCCTCTGAATCAGATCTTTCTGGACCTCAAATGCTGGAGGCTGCAAAGGAGAGAGGAGCAGGGGAAAAATCCAGTTCATGCTCCCTTTCAGCCTCTACTCTCTGCCTCTGTGCGAGAGGAGACAGGGCAAGATGGACCTACGGTCTGACCCAGTACATGCAATCCTTGTGTTCTTACGAGCTGGGGGAGGAGATGGGGCATGCGGCTATTTCCTTTGCGGGGCTGGAGCCCCGATGTGAGCATTTCAGAGCAAGACCCAAGCGCACGCTGCATTTAGATGTCTTGGTTAAAACAGACTCGCCGTCCTTGCATCCATTCCCCGCTCCTCTCCTTTCTGCTTGGTTGCTCCATGAACACTGCAGGAACAAAATGCTGCAGCAACCTATATGTTGCCCTGAGACCAAGTAAAAAGTCCCACAGAGTCACGAACCAGGCTAGACCCTACAGTCCAATTATGAGCTGGTGACCCACCCACAGGGCCAAAATCAGACCGTCGCGTCCCTGCACAAACATGCATGCACACATAAGAAGGGCATTACGGAGACTCCCACATTGGCCCCATCGGGATCTCTTCCATGTCTCTTCCTACTGCTGTCGGCTTGTTGGCTGAGCAGGTGCTGCCGATCCACCTGTGCTGAGCAACAGCTGTTTCAAGCAGGTGCCCAGAAGAGACTTCTTTCTCCGTTTGCTAAACACCATCCACTGTGTTATCTCTCCTCCTTCCCCTCCCAGCCCCTGTTCTTACAGTGCGTTTCATCCAACTTGTCATGTCCTATCCCATGCCCACGGTGGGGAAAGACTCTCTTTGCTGCTTGTTTGTACAGCGCAGATCGGGGCTTGATACTTAAATGACATCCCTGGGTGCTACCCTGATAGGCAGGATGGATAAGAATAACTGGCTGGAACCGAGTGCGCGTGGGAGCCCGGTCTGTAGGCTGGGATGGAGCAAGAGAATTAACACCAGCCATGGAGGCCCCGAGGGGAAGGAGCGCTCCAGAGAAAGGCAGAGCAAAACAGGCTCCACGAGACAGGTGGTGAACACTCCCACTTGAGGGAAGCTGTAGCAAAGGTAGTAAATATTTGCACGGTGGCAGTGCCAAGGGCTCTGCCCTTTTTATGCCAAGAGGCAAGTGCAATTTAAAGGGCCTCAACTGACAGAAGCAACAGCTATTGCTTATATGATGCCCAAGTGACAGCAGCGTTGGCACACTCATATATGCCCCCCTCCTGGGTCTTCCAGAGAAGACACCAGACTGGCTCGTCTTGGACAGGTATCGCTGAGGGTGTTAGCAAGCAAAAAGGAGGCTGATAAAGAACAAAGCGTCCAAGCTCCAATCTACACTGAGACCTCAACGTTCATCGCCTGTCCCACGAAGGAGAAGAGAAGTGTGAATAGGAAAGCATGTGTTCCCCTCGTCTTCCTTTAAAGCATATAAGCACCAGTTGGGCACAAAATGTGGCTTTGGAAAGGATGGGGAGTCGTGTCCTTTCACCTGGTAACTGTCTATGTGCCTCTCCCCTTCTAGCCTCTCAACATTGCCTACAGCCACATCTACAGCTCCTACCGCAACTTTGTGGGGCCGCCTCACTTCAAGACGATCTGCCGGCTCCTGGGCTACCAAGGGATCGCCGTCGTCATGGAGGAGTTGCTGAAGATTGTCAAGAGCCTGGTAATGATGACCCTGGACCAAGGGACAGGAGGACCTCAGCCCTTAGGGGTGGCTTGGGGTGGGGGTGTTAGCCTTGAATTTGGGTGTTTTGCTTGGCTGGTCAAATGCAGGTGCCTAAATTTACCAAGATTTAGACACCCATTGGTGGATCCTGGCTATCACAGGGGCTGAGGAATCCTATTCATGTCACAAGGAGGTTTTAGGGATCTTGGGCTTGGCCCTTGGCTGGCATGGCCCAGACAGTGCCACTTGCAGGGGATGGGACCGTACCAGCCGAGCGCCAAGCCCGGCTCCATCGCATGCAAACGGTGCTGCGGCACGTGTCCATCCCCCGGGTGCCCAGCCGCAGCGAGGCTGCGCAGGAACTGGTATAAGTCAACCCCATATTTCTGATCCAAAAAGTTAGGTCAACTTACGTACCAGATCTACAAAATTCCTAATTTTTGGATCAGAAAAATGGGATCAACATATACACCATGTCGACCTATACACCATGGAATATGGTAGGCCAGATTTTTCAGAGGAAATATTCTCTCTGCTGCTTCAGGTCTCATTGAGACGGAGCAGGAATTGGAGCACTCAGCATAATATGTATTTCGGTCATGTTGTTCAACCACAAAAATAAACCCCTTTTTTTTTGTTGGTGAGATTCTTTTGATCTTCCAGCAGTATTTCTTACAATTGTTTTAGTTTATTTTTGCCGTAATGTCATGGCATCATCTTGAGATTTTCAAACAGGGAAGTACTAAACTGAGGGCATCAAGTATGCCTCCAGGTTACCTGGAACAAGACATGAAGGAGTCTTCAGTGCCATTTTCAAGAAAGACTTTTAAAGCATCTGGAAATCCCGCTCGTGCAAACAGACACACGTTGCAGCGCTTGAAAGGGTAAAAAACGTGGTGTGTACATATGCCCTTAGTGGAGAAAGCTCTAGTTGGTGTCTTCCAGTATGAGTAATCGGAGCAGAGATGAGGCTTGGGTCTGGGTCAACTGAGTCGTACTCTCAAACACTCCCAAAAGCTAGGACTGATCTTCAAAGTAGAAAATCTGTATAAAACCATGAGTTCATTTCAGGGTAAAGTCATAAAAGGCTCCAGGTTTGTTTGGTAAACTTGGGCTGAACTTTTTTTTTTTCTTTTTTAAGTAATGAAGCCCACAACGGATGTTTGTGTGAGTGGAAGTTCCATAATTAAGGTTTCCAGTCATTCCATAATGAGGGTTTCCTGCTTTGTTTCCTGCAATTCCACAAAGTGTCCGTTTCCAAGTCCTTATTCAAGGCATTTGCAAATAAATGACTCTAGCCATAAGTACAAGAGAGTGCTTCCAGACTGGCTGGCACAGAATATATTGCAAACATCAAGTAAAACTATACCTGCATTGGCATTAGCAGATTCAACAGGAAGTAACTTAATATTCACTCATGCAGATTCAACACATTCACAGCTCTTGCTACGTCCATTTTTTTCAAATGAATGCATCATCTATAGAGACCCAGCATCTCAAGGTAGTATCTCTCCTGTTTTCTCTGACAGTTACAAGGGACCATCCTGCAGTACGTGAAAACGTTGATAGAAGTGATGCCCAAGATATGCCGCTTGCCAAGACATGAATATGGATCTCCAGGTTAGTGGCAGGACTGTCCAGGCTGTAATATACTTGTATAATATTATAAAAGATCATGGATTTGATTCTTATGAAATCAAATGTGTAGCATTGTGAAGCTTATGGTGTGACATTTTTTTTAAATCCCATCTGGTGCAACCTTGGCAGACTTCTTGTAAATGCTGGGAACGAGAACAAAATTGGCCTGCTGTGTAAAGTGTCTTACAACCTTAATTCAAGAGCTGTGGCTATAACTATAATGCCTCTTATTTAACTGGGCATCTAAGAGCCAGCATCAGAAAGTCCACTTCTGATCACAGAGCATGTGCGGAAAGACCCTGCAGTGAGAAAGTGTTATTGAAAGTATCTGCCTGGGAACACAAGTTGCTGATATGGAACTCATTATATGATAGATAGATAGATAGATAGATAGATAGATAGATATTCACTATACTATTAATAGAGAGAGAGAGAGATTGATTGATAGATATTCACTATATATATATATGTATATATGTAATTAGATTGATAGATTGATAGATAGGTATTTGCTATATATATGTATATATGCGGATAGATAGATAGATAGATAGATAGATAGATATTCACTATATATATGTAGCTAGATAGATTGGTAGATAGATATTCACTATATATATGTAGCTAGATAAATTGATAGATATTCACTATATATGTATATATGTAGTTAGATTGATAGATCGATAGATAGGTATTTGCTACATATATGTATATATATAGATAGATAGAGATGTGTAAATATAATAAATTTATATATGTTTATATATATATATATATATATATATATATATGTTTTGCTTTCAAGATCTTTTTAACTTTATTTCTGTGGAGTTGTTACAGATATATAAAAGCAGCACTTATTCCAAGATTAAATGTAAAAAGTCCCTTTTCCTACCCCCTGTTTCCAGGCCTGTATAACTCCTTTGACTTGAGGCGAGTAATTGCTTGTTTACAGAGGTGGACATGAGAGGAGAATAAGGCTCCCTGGGTGGAGACTTCTCTTAAATCCTGGTGGTAGGACATTGTTTTTATTTTTTAATACTCGGCAGTCTGGGATCACAGTGAGCCACCAAGAAAACAGTTAGCCCCTGAGCAGGCTGTTGGCTAGTCTGGATGTGCTGTCTGTTCTTCCTTTCCTCACTGTGTCTCTCCTTGTGTCTCCTTAGGTATCTTGGAGTTCTTCCATCACCAGCTGAAGGACATCATCGAGTACGCAGAGCTGAAGACCGATGTCTTCCAAAGCCTTAGGGAAGTGGGCAACGCTATTCTGTTCTGTCTTCTCATTGAGCAGGCCCTGGTAAGGCCAACTCTCCCGTTGTAAAGGTTACGCTCTACCATTGCTACTGTACTAACCATCTAACGGGGCTCTTTCATTGGGAGCCAGCTAAGACAAATAGGGAACAGGAAGCAACTTGGGTTGGTGACAGTGAGAACCAGAGCAGCTGGCAAGGAGCCTAACATTGAACCTGAATTTTGGAGGACCTAGACTCAAACATAGGATCCACAGTAATCCCAGTGATGTTTAGACTCCTGGTCAGATCCAGCATCAGAAAGGGCCAGTTCCTGGGTCCGATTCTGGACTGGAGGATCTTCGGGAGATCTTTGTTATATGTGTGTGCAGCACCCAAAACACTGGAGTCCTGATCCCTGAGTGGACCTGTGGCCTGACTACCCCGTGTATATTAAATCAGTATTAATGAAGCAGCTGGAGAGGGAGGGAATCTTCCCAGAACAGCTGGTCTTGAGAGGTTTCTTGAGCTGAGCCCTGTCTTCGCTACAGAATTACCTTGAATGTTGCCTCTAAGTCAAAACCCATCCATGCACACTCCCCCTTATCTCCTATGAGGTGGTCCTTTTAAACACGAGTTGGCTGGTCCATCAGAAGTGATGGCTTGCATTAGCCCAACGTCCACCACCTGCAAATATGGCCACACCGTGCAGCTCAAGTATTCCCTGGTCAGGAATTTTTCAACAAAGAGCTTTCCGTAGGGAAATGCCAGTTCATCTCAATAGGTCTGCAGGAGCTTATCAGTTTGGATAAGACTTTCAGTGAAAAGATTTACAAGATGCAATAACTGGACCTCTATACCTGGGATTAGGGCCTGCTTCTAAGTCCACTGAAGTCAACTGAACTCCTGCTAAGTTCAGTGTCTTTCACCTGACCCCTCTGACTACCTCTTCAGGAGCATCAGGAATTCACACACACATTGTAAATTGGTCTACAAGAATGTCCTTGTTTTATACAGCGACAAAGCCACTGATTTATTAAGCTGGGCCTAATCACATGCTTAAGACATATGCTAGCAAAAGACAGCTGCCTTCCAGGTCATTCGTGACCAATCCCAAGGTATAGTGCTTTTCATGAGATGCTGTTGTGGACGACAATATTTTATGATAACGTAGGCCATCTCTACAGCCTAAAAGAAACCCAACCTTTTAGAGTTATAAATTTAAGGAGGTTCAGTCAGATTAGATCCGATTAGATGAACATCCCAGAATGCATTCTAATATTCTCCTAATGAAGGTCTAACGCCGTGGGAATAATTGATCTCATGGTTGTTTTGTGACAGTTGTTGAACTATTAGATTGCGTTCTGCTGTTGGCTGGCAGAGAGTGCTCCAATTTCAGGTTGGAAATACATTTCATTCCCTTTTTCTTTATTTTGTTACTTATGAGTGACTTTCTCAAAGCCATTC